GGGGGGTAGGGGTGGCAGGGGTGGCAGGGGTGGCTGGAGCGGGCTCGCGCGGGCTCGCGCGCCGCCGCGACCGTTAGCGTGACCGTTACTGGCGGTTGAGCCCGGGCGTGCTGAGGGGATTGAGGGGGGCGGCTTCACAATGTCGGGGGAAACGCCTTGTCCCCCTGCCCTGAGACACCTCCCACCCCACTCCCTTCCCTCAGGCCCCCCCGCCCCTGCCCGCTCTCCCCTCAGGGGCGAGGTGCCTGCGCTGGCGGGCTAACGCTAAGGGAAAATACCCCTGAAAAAAAGACCTTACGAAGACAGTGAGGTGGGGGCGGGGGGGGAGCTCGCCCCCTTGGGCTACCTTCCGGGGCGAGCTCTAGGGCACGTTAGCGGAGCGCTCCTGCCTCTCTCGGTGAGGCCCTGGTCCCGCCGGGCTCTTTGCGGGGTGCTCCCCGCAGGGCAGATACCGTAAGGAAGCACGAAAAAAAGGCTTTTATCTGGTGTGCTTCACTCGCGCCTTCCGTCATTGCCGGTTTCTTGTAAGAAAGTGTGATTAAACGCTGAACTGTACCACCAAATGTTCAGCGTGAAGCTTCCCTAAAAACAATAAAATCTTAATAGACTGAAATTGGATGAGAAATCCTGGCTGTGGGCCAGGCGGAGACATATAATTTGGAGTGGGTTTTTTTTTAAATGTTTGCCTTACCAAGTGTCAAATTAACAAGGTTATTTTATAGCTCCTTCGAGGCTTTAACTCTCAAGTGGAAATGCTACTTTGGGAGGGCTTCAGTGGTTGCTACCCATATAATTGTCTGCTTGACACCTGCTTTGAAGCATCTGCTGCTACGACATGGACAGCTCAGCTGCCTGTGAGGCAGCAGCTGAACCAGCATAATTTCCAGGCTCTAGTATATTATTTGAGTATCTATGAAGCTCCTGCTTTTAAGATGCTAGTCTGTAACTTATGCGTGTTCAACAGCTACCACAAAGCGTCAGAGGCGCTTCTGGATTGGGAAGCGGTAGCAAGCCAGCGACCAGCTGTCACCAAGCACGCAAAGCTCTGTTCACCCGTCGGAAACTTCTGGTCCCTGTGTTACAAGAGCTAAAATAAATACTCAAAGGCTGTGACCTGCAAACCAGTAAATTGTGCCTTGTACTTTACAATGATCTTGTCGGTTCTGCCCTTGTCCCTGCCTTGGTGATACAGATGGGCGTAATCAGTAACCTTTGCATCTTATCATTTACAATCATAAAATGGTAGAGGTGAAAGATGTCTTTATGACTTTTTCGTCAGACTGCCTTATAAATGCAAGATAAAATGTGAGATAATCTGTAACGGCATGCTTTCTAGGTGTTCTACTCCTAAAATCCAAACCATTGAGATTTATGTCACTACCTAAAAATGGCTGGTTTGCCACATTAGTTCATGCTGAAGAAGTAGTGGTTGATAACTGTCACATTTCCTTACTGTTTCAACTTACACCCCCCAAATAAATATTATCATGTCAAATTCTTGTTGGTTATTTTTCCAGTCTTTCCAAATACAACAATCTTCCTGAAATCACAATATTTACAGACATTTTAAGTAATTTCAGTTTACTAAGGGAAGGACCCCAACTCAGAAGAGAGGGGTCAGAATTCAGAAAAATTCAGAAAAAAAGTATCTTTAGTTAGGAAAGGCAGTCTCTCATGTAATCTTCTATAAATTCCAATGAAGTAAATGAAATTTCAATTCATGCTTAAATTTGTGCATTTGTAAGAACTTAATTTAAGTGTATGTAAATATATGTAGGGTTCTGTGAATCAAGGTTGAGATTTGCCTCACTGGACTAACTGTGACAATTGCCAGACTTACACTAGTTGAGTCAGTTTCACATTTCTATGTTACATTTTGTTCTGTAGAGGGTTTGACTCTGTCGCATTTGCAGATATATTTATTTCTACTAATGGCCCATTCACATCAGATACTCGTCTTTGTGGCTCCTTTGCTCACATTTCTTACACATCTGCACATCCTTGATCTTTGTTTTATAACCGGAATTTCATTTGCTCACTGTAAGTCTGCTGATATCATCAGTTCTGGTCAAATTTTTATATATCCACACAGCCAGATGCACAGATGGTATAAATCACCTCATCACCATTTATGTCAATACAGCAATACTGATTAACATTTCCTTATGAACTAGACAACATATATAGAATTCCCTCCTTCCCATTATTTTCCATTTTGAATTAAGCCTATTTCTTAGGTTTTTATTATTTTGTTTTTTATAATACAGGACCTTTTACAATGACCTTCTGTTTTAATTTGAAGAACTGCAGAGCAAATACCTGTTCTGGAGAGTTCCCTAGTTCACTCAAGATGTGATTCAAATCAGCTACAGT